TTTTTTTTTCCTCTCTTCACCAACTTCCTTCCTGCTCCAACTGCCAAAGCTGAAAGCTCAGCGCTGAGAGCGGAGGAGGACCCCAGCCGCAGGCGCCGCTCAGCTGGTGAGTACCAGCCCAGGCGAGGGGAGGACGGGGGGAGCCGCGCAGGGGTAGAGGAGCGGGCTCACCCCCGGCGCTGCGCAACTTTGCGCCTTTGTTCCCGGCGGCTGGCTCCCTTGCCCAGCCTTGCCCGGGGAGACGGGCAGGGCCTTGCCTGCATCTGAGGGGGAAGTCAGGCTCTGCGCTGTGATGGAGCAGAGGAAGGGGAGGCAGCCCCCATGGTGGCGGAGGGGGCCCGGGGGGTGACAGCGGGTGTAACCCTGCGGGGTGGTACCCGGCGGTCCCCGGGGGTGGCTGGGCAATGGGCTCCCCCTTTTGCCCTCACACCCCAGGGGGTGGGATGGGGACGTCAGGTCCGGAGGTGCTGGTGGGGCCAGTATCTTACTCCCCCATCGTGGAAAATTGCTTCCTCCCTGCCAAACCCGCTTCCTGGAGATAAGCTGTCGGTCAGGGGGTGTTTTGGGGGAGTGATGCACAGAGGGAGAACAAATAAAATGCTGCCCCTGTGACACCCCTCTTTGTGGCCTGTGGTGGCATGGGGGGGCCGAGGAGGCGCCCACCATCCACTTCTGTTGCCCGCCCCCCCCCTCCCCCGGCTTTCTGCAGCAGGTGTGAGGGCAGCCATCCACCCCCGGCACGGGTAGAGCCCAGCTCAGAGACGCTCGAAGTCTTCGGCAGGGCATGATTCCTCCTTCGCCTCCTGCAACCATCTCTCTGGCAGGGAGTCGGTCCCTAGGACTGCTTCTGCCCCTTTCTTTGCCGCTTTGTGGGTGCTGCCAGGCCTCAGAGGCACAGGTGACAACACACAACTGTGGGTTGGGGCTGCAGGAAAGCAAGAAAAATGTAATGGGGCAGGGCACAAATCACCCAGATTTCTTCTTACATTTATAGGGTTTTCAGTTTTTAATGAGGCTCGTGGCCATGTGGGAATCTCCATCTTAGCCCAGCCCTTGGCCTGAGCAGTGACACAGGAGCCCAGGAACCCCAGCAGTTGGGCACCAACATGCTCACTCTGGGGAAGCACTGGTGCCTGAGCCCAGTAGCATGTCTCGGTTTGCAGAGGAGACCAGTCCCGGAGCTAGAGCAAGTAAAGTCAGGGGCAGCTGAGATGTGAGCTTTTGTCTTGGTTAGTCACCTCCTGCCTGGGAATTTGGCAGGAAGGCAGGGTCAGGTCCACAATCTGGGGAGAAATGCTGGAACTGGGTCTGATCGGTGCCATCCTGAGATGCATGTGAACCGGGGGCTGTTCAGCCCAAACAGCCTGGCTGGTCCTGTTCAACTCAGGCTTTTGCTGTTTGACACAGTAGGCTGCCTGTCCACCTCTCCGGGAGGTTTTCAGAGCCTGAAAGCATCCCCCCTCAAGTGAGCCACTCCCACAGGCTGGCAGGGAATGTCTCTGCAGCATGTGTGATGCAAAGGGAAGGTCTGAGTGATGGGAAACAACCTGCTGGTCCAGCCCTGGAGCTCTGCCTTTTCTCTGTGTGTGGCCAGAGCTCGCTCGCTCTATCCATTGCCTGACTCTCTCCCTCTCCTGGGATAAAACACAAAACCCCTGTGGAGGACAGGGGCAGACAGGCAGCTCTGCTCTGTGATTATAGTGGTAACAGATGCAGCCTAGTATCGAGAGAGAGCTCGTGAGAGTGGAAGTGATTCAGATTTGCAGCTGGAGCCCAAGTGGAAGGCAAGACCTGGTGGTGGCTGCCATAGTTCATCATGTCCTCTTCCTGTGCTGAGTATGGGATGGCGCTGAGGGGATTGTGAGGCTTTGTAAGATGACTGTGCTGAGGCTGCAGAGCAGTGGGGCATGAGCAGTCATTATTTTCATGAGGGAGCTTCTGGTTTCCTTCCTCATGAGGACAAATTCAGGGCCTTTTCCATGATATAGAGCACTCCTAGGGATGAATGTGAACTCAGACAAGGTTATTCAGCTGCTGGGACATGCTTTTTTTCCTGTCCATTTGAGTTGAAATTCCCTTTTATCTCCCAGCTGCCCACTCTGCACTAGTTCTTGACTCACCACAAAATGGCATTGCAAAGTATTCTTGCATCAGAGCTGTTGTCCATTAGCATGCCCAACTGAGCCGTCTTGTTCCTGTGCTGCTTGGTTCTTTTCTGTCCTGTAACATTCCAATATACCCCTCCTTGATTTTTTTTCCACTGGTCTCACCCATGCTGGGATTGCACTGGGAGGTCTGCTTATTACTCACTGCTGCCCAGCGATGCTTGCTGATTCACCCTGAACTGTTGCATATATATATATAATTTTTTTTTTTTTGTATTTCCTTTCTGTTTTAACGAATGAGAAAACTATCCCAGTAGCTCCCAATTTAACTTTTTGGAGGAGAGGAAAATATTAAGGCCACAGCTTCAGAGAGGGATAAAAGGGTTTGCTGAGGAAATTGCAAATAAGCGGGCAAGAGGGGAATTTTTAGCAGGGCCAGCTTCTGAAAAGGACTTAATGTAAGGATAAGCTGAAGTGAACTGAATGATCTATGTAGCTTGACCAAATCTCCTTGTGACCAAATGGCAAAGGAATGGCTTGGCCATTTACAACCACCGTCACTGCACCAGGGCACTGCTCTGTTTTTCAGCCTTTCTCTGAAGAGTGGGGAAGTGGCCAAGAGCATGCGGCTGTCTCCATGAGGCAGGCAGCTGACTAAGGGGGACCTGGCACAGCACTGCTCACCTCTTGCCTCTGTCTCCTGTTCCCCATTCCCTGCCCTCTGCCTGTCTGCCCATCAGTTGATCTCTCCCCGCTCTGGCTCCCATTTGGGATGCCACTTAAGAAGCTTTGCTGCCCTCCTGCATTCAGCAGTGCATGTCCCAGCCATCCTGGCTTCATGGCTGCAGGCTCCAGCTGTCCTGCCTTTCCTCGCTGAGAAGCCCCACTGATTCAGCGCAGGCATACAGGGCTGCTCTGCAGCTGGGCTGGATGCAGTCACCATCGCTCTTCCTTCCTCAGCTGGAAGGAGACATGATCCGTGCGTGAAGTGAGCTGTTCCTGGGAGCAAGCACTGGAAATGCCAGCAGCTTGACTCTAGCAGGCGCGTTTCCTTGAGGGCTTCAGAAAACTTGGTAATAGAAGGGAGTTGCTGTCACATATTTGATCTTTGTATGAAATGCTGCCTGACAGTGGTTTTTAACCCCTTAGGAGAGGGTGAGACAAACCTCTGGCCTTGGCTTTGTTCATGTCAGTGTGTGGCAGTGGCTCTTTGTGCAAAATAGCTGGTGAATGCTGAAACCTTGTACAGTGGCTTGTAATTGCAGTGTTGCTGGTCAGCAACTGTGCTGCAGAGTGGCTGTAAATCACTCCAGTTTCAGCCTCCACTCCTGCACCCCCTCCCCAGGAGGGGAAGAATGGTGTAGGTCTGCATGTGCGTGTGGTGCCCTCAGGGAGAGGAGTGGGAGCACAGGGCCATTGTGTTTGATCCAGAATATCAGCATGGCAGTGTCAGAATCGCAGCCGATCACCATTGCCATTTGCCTGTAATGATCCTGCTGCATTTGGCGCTGGGCGAGTGCCTGCCTGTGTGGGAGACTGAGCCGTGCTGTTCCCAGATTGAGTGCCCCTGGGGATGCTAGTCCCCTTTGGAGCAATCCCATTGACTGTCTCCTCCTCTGTTACACAGAACAAGCGACCATGACTGAGAAGACCCAAGAACCTCATGTGGAGGAAGATGATGATGAGCTGGATGGGAAACTCAACTACAAACCCCCTCCTCAAAAAACACTGCAGGAGCTGCAAGAGTTAGACAAGGATGATGAAAGCCTTGCTAAGTACAAGAAGTCCCTGCTGGGAGATGGACCTGTGGTAGTAGGTAGGCTGGGGCATGCTGATAGGAAGGGACTGGGGAGATGCATTGTGACAGTGTGCTGTGGGGATGGGGCAAGGTGGTCTCACAAAGAAGAGGAAGCTTGTTTGACCAGGCACATGCACTGCTTCTGCTGGAGGACTGGGGATGGGCAGGTAGAGAGATGCATGTAAAGGAAGCAAGGAAGATGCTCTGAGCATTAGATGTAAGGTTACTATGGAGTGCTGGCATTAGAAAGGGACTTGTGGGAGGTGTGTGGGCCTTGGAGGATGCCTGAGGGGTTAGAAACATGAGGGGACCAGCCTATGCTGAAAAGGGGTTTTGCAGCTCAGAATGATCTTAAGAGGGGAGTATCCTATAGTGGAAAGACCTCCTCTAGGTATTGGGATGAAGGCTGGAGAGAAAACTGGGGTAGTTGTCGTGGTCCTATTGTGCTAAGAGAAGTCTAGCATTACTGGGTGTTTCATGAAGTGCAGTTTCTGTGTGGGGAAAGCAACCCCATTTCTTCAGTGTTGTTCCCCTCCCCCTGCATTTAATTTTGTAAACTGACAGTTCCCCCTGACTTTTCTACCTGCAGACCCAACAGCTCCCAATGTGGTGGTCACCCGACTCACCCTGGTATGTGACTCTGCTCCAGGACCAATCACTATGGACCTTACAGGTAGGCACAGACTCTGTCCTTAGGCACAAAGGGGAACAAGCAGAGGCCCTGGCATGCTTGAAATTGAAAGGGAGTTTGTCCTTGGGATGCTATAGTGGGTTTAGAGGAACTCTGAGGGCATCTTAGCCCTGTTTCATATTTCAAGGTATACATGTATTAAAAGAAAAGGAGATGTAACAGAGGAAAATATCAAGGGTCTTTTTCTTGACCTCTAGACTGCTCTAAGAGCTTCTGGGTTTCTCCTGCCTTCATCTGCTTTCAGTGAGGCCTCATGAGCACAAGGGATGTGCATGCATTTGGGTAATAGGCTGTTTTGAAACTTTAGAATCAAGCAATACTGCAGTTCCGGCTCCTGGGGGCATGGGGAAAGAACCAGGCTTCACCTTATATGGGCTTTTCTGCAGAGAGAGGAAGCTGAGCCCAGAGAAGCAGAGAGGCTTCCTGTTCAACCAAAACCACACAGAGCCCTCCAGAGCCTGGGCAGCCCTTGCAAGCTATGCAGGAGCTGCAAAACATGCTCCACTCACCCAAGCCATGGCTGGGCATTGACGAGCCGGCACACATTCCTGCAGATGCCTAGCAACCAGTCTGATGATAAACATCTTTGTGTATATGTGCCCAGACCTTTGTTTATTTAGGTGTTATCTTCATAGATGTGGACACAGGCACATACATACACCCAGGCGTTTCTGTATATGTGCTCTCTCAGTGCAGTTGCTTATATAGACCTCTGTGTACTCATTTTGCAGGTGTGCCATCCCTCAAAGGGATGCTTACCTCCAGCACCATCCCAGCCCCATCCCACGACAGGTGGTCTCTTCTTGCTGTAACACCTCTAGCTAACGCCTTGATCCCCTCCTTACAGGTGACCTTGAAGCACTCAAGAAAGAGACCTTCGTATTAAAGGAGGGAGTGGAATACAGAGTTAAGATCCACTTCAGAGTGAGTTGGTTTCCTTCCTATTGCTTCTTATCAGTTACTGAGTCCAGTCACCAGAAGTCTATCTGATATCTAGAGATGGGCAGCATAGCTGCCCAAAAGCTGGGCGCTTGTAGAGCTCCCTGAGCTTCAGGTGTCCTTCTACCCAACAACGGACCAGGTCTTTCCAGGGAATTCCTTTTCGCTCGCCCCTTGGAAGAGGTTGCTTTCTGTCCACCCACAGTGCTGAATAGCAGGTGGTTTGGAAACCAGATGGGTAGTTTTAGCTGAGTTTGGCTTGTTTTTTTAGCCACCAGAAAACCTCTAATTCACACAAAGTGGAAATGTATATGGAGAAGAACAGATAGTGGCTTTCTATGAAGTACTAATTCAGTCTGCATTGCTGGGCTTCATGTATGCATAAAAAAACATTTAATGCTGTAACATTTGGCTGAAGATACCCGAGTTCTTCTGGATCATGATATACCCAAATGGACTCATTTCTCCTCCTCTCCCATTAACCAGTGTGTCAGCCATTTCTTCTGTTTCCAGCTGAAAATGAAACTTGGCCACACTGCAGTGTGGTATCCAGCACTGAAGTGATCAACTCCACATGTTTGCTGCAAGCAAAGCTGGCTTTGGCAGAGAAGGAAAAAAGGGATGGAGGATGGTTCTCTTGAAACAGAGGAGGGAAAATGTTAGAGTTGTGGGTTCTGTAGGCAAGATTTCCCTCCTTCTCTGAGGCTCACATGCTGTTTCAGAGATGACTTTGTCTCCAGAGACACCTCCAGCTCTCCTTTGTGCTATGAAATATTCGTGTCTGAGCCCTGTTGACAGGAGACACCTGGAGCCAGACAAGTTGTTCTAACTCCCTCCCTCAGTCCCAAAGCTGGTAAGAGCTGGCTCCATTTGAATTCTCCCCTGGGATATAAAAGGATCTGCCAGTCTTGTTTCCAGATTGAGTAGTGCTGTGGGGAGGCAGTGTATGTTGGACAGGGACAGCAAGGGATACATCCAAGCTATCTGTAGGACATTTGAGGAAAGATTATCAACAAAACTGTGTCCTTCTGTCTCTTGAGAAGAAACTTGCCAGCTCCCCATGGATCTTAGAGGACAGCTGGGAGTGCTCAGCTAATCTTGCCCACCACTTTGTGCTGGAGAGATGGCTCTAGTCACCCATGTCTGGTTTTCAATATGGACATTATTAATCAGAAACTCCCTGCTTCACTTTTCTTTGTCCTCATCAGCCTGTCTTGTGAAGCTGACTGATATGCTCCAGTCAGCTTCAAAGTCAGGGAAAGGATGGGGAAGTACAGGAGATGCACAGAGGATGCTGTAGGTCTCCCAGGTGCCTATAGAGAAGTGTTAGGACTCCCCACAATGTGTCCTGGGCTGAGCCTGAGAGCAGTGACGTAGGGAGCCAAGATGGGTATGTCTTAAGGAGAGAGAAAAACAGCGGATACAGAACCAAAACCCTTCCCTTGACACTTCTGGTCACTTCTTGCAGGTAAACAGGGACATTGTGTCGGGACTGAAATATGTGCAGCACACCTATCGGACAGGAGTGAAGGGTGAGTAAGAGTCCTCTGTGCTGTGCACACCAGTGCTTCTACCCCCGTGTTTCCTCTGCTCAAAGAAATGTTCCTGCAGCTCTGGGCTGGGACAGAACCTCCCCTAGTCCCATGGCCCCACCTGTGCCACCACACAGGATGTGAGACTTCTCAGCAGAGTGCATTAGCCTGCACTCTGCATCACCCAGGCCAACTGTTTTCTGTTCCTGTGCGAACTCAGTATGAACCACCTCTGGTATTTGTATGCTACACAGCTGTCTGCAGCAGCAAAGTCCCCAGAGACACTGCCTAGACAGTGCTTGCCACAGATTTCCTCTCTATACAGAGTTCTTCACCTCCCCTCCAACCCCTGTTAAGAGTGGCTCAGCCTGTGTGGAGCTTTCTACCTCCTGAAAGCTCTTCTGGATATACTTGGTAAAAAATCAGAGCTGCTCTATGAAGCTTCCTGCTGTGTGCAGACCCCTGTGTTTTTCCATGGCCTCTACTCTGTGGAGTGCTGCCCTGTCTGGACAAGGCAGAGGGAAGTGCTGTTTTGCACACACAAACATCCCACATGCATTTTCGCATGCAACCACCTCTAAGGCTCCAGTTACCCATTCAGCACACATAAGTGGTGGCTTCTCACCAGAAAAGAGAAGCAGCAGGGGATCAAGAGAGATCTTGAGCCATATGCTGAGTGTATCCACTCTCTTCCAGCAGCATATATATGTGAGAGGGTACAGACTGAGTTGCCTGTCCATGTGCCTATCCATCTGTTTATCCTTCCAGCTGTCCTTGTGCTTCACTAACTTGCTTTTTCCACTGATTCTGTTCCCCTTGCTGACATGGACTGGCCCTTTCTCTCCCCACTATCTCCTTTCTGTCTGTGATCTGTGGCCTCTTCTGTCCTTTATCATTCCCCACCTGAGGGGCTTATCTCTTGTGGATTGTTTTCTCCTAGTGGACAAAGCCACATTCATGGTTGGCAGCTACGGCCCACGGCCAGAGGAGTATGAGTTCCTGACGCCTATTGAGGAGGCTCCTAAGGGTATGCTGGCTCGAGGCACCTACCACAACAAGTCTTTCTTCACAGATGATGACAAGCATGACCATCTCACCTGGGAGTGGAACCTGTCCATCAAGAAGGAATGGACAGAATGAGTTCAGCCCATTTGCCTTCCCCCTTCCCATCCCCTTGCCTCCTGCACCAGTCTCCAGGTGGGCCATGCCCACCACGCTGCTCCTTCCTGCCACCATGGCCAGCCACAGCCCTGGTAGCCCTTTCCATGGGTTCCAGGGCTCTGTGCCAGCCTTGGTTGATGCACAGGCCTGCAGGTGGCCTTTACTGCTTCTTCTGATACACTGAAAATAATCTGCCCATTCTCACCACTGCCCCATCATGACAAATAATGGATTAAATTGGGAGGCATCTCCCTCCCTCTCTCCCAGTACTTCCTTCTGCTGCCTCCATCTCTCCTGTACCAACTCCGGTCCCGGAAGTGCCTTTTCTAGGAAACAAGATCACCTGGCAGGGCGGACTGGTCCCTGGAAAATCCATATCTGAGTTACACTTGCCATGTGCTCTGACTCATTGTAAATGGTTGCCTCCTCTGATGGTCTCCTGGTCTGTATCTGGTGCCCTACCCCTTTAAAATCCATCCTTGTGCAGGCAAAGCCAGTCAGGGGGAATGCAGCTAGATGCTGTAACAAGATTTCAGTGTCCCAAGAATAAACACAGTTTCTTTCTTCTTTTCTGCATGAGTGTCATGTTCTTTTCTAGAGTGTGTTTTTCAGTGATGTGTATGTGGAGAGTGCATTATAGGAGGGCTTAAGAGCAGGTTTTGTCAGGGAAATAGCCCTCCTCCTTCAAAATACCAGTCTAACTCAATAGGCAAATTATTGCAGAGCTGCTTCCTTCAGGGGTTCATGGATCCTTCTTTGAAGCCCAAAGTGTGGCCCAGGAGGGGGCTACACTCCAGGTCTTGACAGGCCCCACCTCTCACCCCGGGTGGCAACTGAATGAGTCCCAGGGAGCTATAACATGGCCTTCTCATGTTTAATGCTTACCACGGCAGCTGTTCCCCATGGCCAGAGCCAATGCAAGAACTATGTTTCCCAGTAGCTGGCCTGCTGGCCAAGCACAAGGGAACATCAGCCTCTGGGACACAGCACTTGGAGAAGTGCAGGGGCTCCTCCTGCACAGAGGGATGTTCTTACCCAGCTGGGGTGCTCCAAGATGCCTGCTGCAGGGGAGGATGTGCTGGCAGCAGTGTTAGTGGGGCTTTTCAAGGCTGGTGTCTGCACAGCAGGACAGGCTTTCTCCCAGCCAGATGCTTATCTGAAGCTGAAGGCTTTGCCCTGGGCCAGCTGCTCCCTTCCCACCGCCCTAGGAGTGCCTGTGGGCCCACACAGCAGCTGACGTGTCTCTTGCAGAGAGGTCTGGAGCAGGGTGACACAGCAAGGAGAAGGCAAGGTGGCAGCATGGGCACCTCTGTCTTCCTGTGCCTCTTCGTTAGCCTGCTCACCAGGGGCTCCCCAGCAGGGTGTGCTGGAGGTGAGGACAGCTCTGCATCTCACAGTAAGTGAATTTTCTTCCTGAGTCTGCCATGGGGAGTCCTCACCATGGGTATGCAGTTGCAAGTGTTGTGTTGAGCTTGCAGGAGAGGTGTGTGGGTAGCTTGTAAGGGGTGGGATGCTTGCTTGTGTGTTGGGGGGAGCCTCTTTGAGCTGCTCGTTGTGTACCCTCTTCCAACCCTGACCTCCCCTCTCCAGGCACAGCCAGCACTGCAGAGAAACCTATTCTGTTGAACAACATTGCGGACACTGAAGCCTTCATCAGTGGTGCGGAGGTGGCGGTCATTGGATTCTTCCAGGTGTGTTCATAGCATCTCCCTGCCGCCAACTGTGAGCCCTATCCCATCCTGACAAGAGCTTGGGACTGAATGTGGCATAAACACCTAAAGGCAGCGCCTATCCCAAAAGGTGCTGGGGCTGTGACAGGCATTTGGAGGGATTAGATGACAGGCCACAGAGAGAACGCAGGGAATTCAGTTTGTGTGTGGAAAGGGAGAAGGAGCAAGGGAGGAAGGTGAAGGAGGTCATAGGAGCTCTGGAGCTGGTGAAAGGGAAATGCTTCATGGGAAGCAAAACAGGAATGTGGATGTCAGAGAAACAGTGTTGTCAAGGGATGAGTGGGAATGTCAAGTTGTTTGCTTTGGTCAGCAAAGACAGAACAGGGAACTGCCTGGATGATGGGGCTGAGGTAGCCAGGTTTTGGGGAACAGTGCTGGTGTGGATCCTCTGAAGTCCAAGAGGGTTTGGGCTCAAGCTGCAGGGAAGGTATAGGCATGGTTTGTCTGTCTCACTGCTTTGCTCCCCAGAGGTGATACCCTTGAGATCTCTGCCTCTGTCTAAATCCAATTGAATTCAAAGATGAGTGATAGGTATATGCCCCTTGTCCTCAAAATGGCATGAATATTTTTCCTTAGGAAAGAAGACAAAAATATTTATTGAGGTAGAGTACCATCAATCAGAGGCCTCTTTGACAGGATCCTCATTACTTTTAAGGTCCCCAAATTGCGCCTTTTTCCACCTTTTCCTTGAGCTCTGCCCTGACCTTCTGCTGCCCACACACTGCCTCATGGCTTCTGTCAGAGAAGACTTTAGCCTTTCAAAAACAACTCCTTTCTGCAATCTCCTTCCTCTTTCTGCCCATGCCTGGGGCTGGGGGGCAGCCTAGGGAGAGCATCATGCCCTCGGTATAGGGCAACGGCATCTTACAGCCTACCACAGAGTGAGGACAGATGGTGCTGCCTGTGCAGTGAGGGCAGCAACAAGTGTGTGAGCCCTGGAGGCTTGTGCTGCAGGTGCCTTGCTAAGTGCAGATCACAGAGAACCAGCCACCTCGCTTTCAGCACCTGCAGGCATTTGGAGCTCCTCAAGGGTTGCTCTTGCAGAGCTACAGTCCTGCAAACCAGTGAGGCAATCTGGACATGCAAAATGAAAGTGCTGAGATGCCTCCATCTCCTTCCCCCAGGGTAGCTGGCCAGGCTTGTGGCAGGGCTGTCCCTGGGGCATAGAGCTTCTGCCAAGCTACAGCAGGGCCCGTGGCTTCTTGCTGGGTGAAGCACTGTGGAGGCATAACTGCTGGTGTCTTGTGCCATTACAGCCTCCCACCTGCTGCAGGATTTCTCACTGATCAGAGTCAGACAGGAGGATACTGCCATGCGGGCCCAGCAACTGCCAGCGATGTGTTGGGTGTTCGAATGCTTGAAGCACAACAAGGCTGCATTTAAACGGTAGATAAAGACATGTGTACCATGAGTACTTGTCTTGGGCCCTCTGCCTGAGAGTATATTAATGCAAATAATGTCCATGTTCTCTGTTTATCATAAATTATTTTTCTGCTGCAGCCTTTCAATTCACTGCAGTAGGCAGCTCAGCAAGCTCCCTGTATAATGAGAACAGCCTCCCTGGCTGGGAACAGCATGCCATGATGGAAAAACAGCATGCTGCTCCAAAAAACCCACGTGTTTGTGAGAAAGGGCCATGCTTGGCCTGATTAAACACCAGCTTTCCCAGGAATGCTCCAAAATTCAGTGAGGTTATTCCTACCTCAGGCTTTCACGGTCCTACCAGAGCCATGTCGATGAGCTGGCATTTCCAAAACAGGTCACGAGAGTTGTTTTTCTTTTGAATGGTGGAAGAATTTTGTTTTCCATTCTCTGGGCTCACAAACAGCAGAGCTGACGGTTCAAACTAAAAAGAAAAACCAATTTCCAAGCAGAGACTGTGTCTTGAGAATTTAAATCCTGTAAGTACAAGTGTCAAAAATACATCACTCAAAATTTGGAAATGGGAATAGCAAGGGAGGCTTTAATATGGGCTAATGCTGTAGCTAATGTTCTCGCTGCAAGAAAGAATGGATCTCAAATTACAGAGAAATTGCACATTTCTATCCTTTGATGTATCTACATTAGCTACTTTTTAAAGGATGTATCTAAGACACCTTTTTAAAAAGGAATCAGGATACTGCTAATGCAAGGTGTTCAAAAATTGTAAACCCCTGACTCTAGAATCAAGGTTATATTGAAAATTGTATTTTTATATATTTGCTACACACACACATGCACATGTGTTGTGCTGTGTACATATATTAGATATATTTGAGCATGCCACGTCCATATTTTGGGTTTCTCCCCTCCCTTTTGAGAGCTCTAGGGCTTTGCATCATCACGATATTACCTGTGAGCGTGGAGGTAAGCAGGGAGGTTTCAGAGAAATGGAAGGCGAGGTCCCCGCCCTGCCGTAGCCACCTGCTATCTGTGGCGTTGACACCGGCAGCGGCCCTGGTGCCCTCCCCGATTTTAGGAGGAGAAGCGGTTGGCGGGGCGATGGGGGAGCTCTCTGCAGCACTCCGGCCACGCAGGCAAGGGGACCACGGGAGAGAAAGTCGCTTCCCCCGGCCCCCCGCGGCCTCCCCCGGCCCCCCCGCCCCTCGGCTGCCCCCCTCGATCTCTTTGCTTTTCACTTGC